CACAGCTGGAAGCTTTTTAAACCGAGGAGGCTCAAAGTCCGCTCAGATGTTGTTCTCTCTACTCGAGTAATTAGTGATTGGAACCGACTGCCGGACCCGATTGTCAATGCGCAAGCAGAAGCGAGGTTCAAACGTTTGCTAGACATATTCCTACTGAGTACTCCAGGATCCTGCAGGGCTGATATTACATCCTGAGCCATGACAGCCAACTCGCCTGCAATCCTTGGAAGATCGGGAAGCGAAGGAGCTGACACGGGACCCCCTTCCGCTCTCTACCACTCAATGAACTCAATGAACTTGAACTTGTATTTCTGCGCTATAATTTTCTTCACTTTGACCGTACTCACCCACTGTGAAGTTCCCTTTCGCCATAACACGCATCTTCTTCACACTGAGTGACAGCGTTGAAGCTGCCTAGGGTAAGCACATACGCTATCTACATTCCAATCTCTCTCTCTGTGAATAGCGACGCCCTATCCAAGTTCTCGGATTTTGTGAAGGATTTGCTTTCGATTTATCGAGTGAGAAGAGCTATCCGTGTTGTTAGCTATGACGTCAAAATGCCTGAGTTGCAGTAAAGGTGTGACATCGCGTTCCAAGGCCGTACAGTGCTCTGAGTGTGACGGATGGCTGCATATTGCCTGCTGCGACATTTGTCCTGAACTCTATGAGTCTCTGCAACGATATACTACATCGGCTATCACTGTTTCCTGTCGCAGCTGCCGTACTTCATTAAACAGTCGACGCCTTCACGCCGGACTGCCAGTCCTGAGCCCTCATTCTACGCCAACGAAGTTCGAAACTTCCACTGCGTTGGACTCACTTGTTTCATTACCTTTTTCGTCCGCACCCAATTCCGGCTCAGCTACCCCCACGGGTAAACGAAGCCGTGTCCCATCTGCTCCCTCATCAGAACTTTTGACACATGCCTTGCCCAGTGAGCCCACGACTGAGACATACGCTGCCGTGGTGAGGAAAACTCCCACTGTCCCAGTGGGTCAGGCGAAGTCTAAGTCCAAACCCAAGAAAACTGATTCCCAGACCCAAATGAAATCTGTTCTCAACAAAGTCAACGAGTTGGAAAAGTTGATCAAGGACAGTACGTCACCACAGCCTCAGATCTCTGGCCGCGCTCTTCCACCCTCTCGTGAAAGATGCCTTATCATTGTGAACGCCCCAGAATCCACCAAGCACACCTCTGCAGAAAGGATGCTGGATGACCAAGGGTTCCTTGAACGAATGATTTCCATCTTATTCGATGAAGGTGAATTAGGTATAAACATTATCTCTGCCTTCCGCCTGGGCAGGAAGCAAGAGGATCCTTCCAAGGTACGCCCCCTCAAGATCGTCTGCCAAAGCGAAGAGGAATGCCGACGCATCCTCCGACGAACCCCACGTTTGAAAGGTGAGCCTTTTTATGTCCTGAGAGATCTTTCTCCGGAAGATCGTATTAAGATGAAAACAGCCGTTGATGAGCTCCGGTCCCGCCGAGCGAATGGTGAGACAGACCTCCACATTGTGGATTTTCGAGTAATCCGGAGAACCCCGAGAACCCGGTGGAGGCCAATTCTCCTCAACCCAGGACAGTAAAGCACGAGAATGGACTGCGTGTAATTGTTGCCAATGTACGCAGTCTGAGAAATAAACTTGATGAGGTACAGATGCTTGCGTCAGATACTTGCCCAGACTTGATGGCCTTTACCGAAACTTGGCTTTTTGCAGACATCATAGATTCAGAGGTTTCTATCCCCGGATACAGTCTTTGTCGAGCCGACCGCCTTGGAGGTAGGCCCGGTGGCGGCGTTATACTTTACTGGAAGGCCGAACTGAAGGCCCATTTGGTTGCAGCTACTAGTGGCGACGACGGTGATTTTGATGCCCTGTGGTGCCGTATTCATGATGGATGCAGATCCTACACTATTGGTGTTGTTTACAGAGCGCCATCGGGATCCGGAGTTCATTTGCTCGATTCGATCAGGAAGCACTGCGCGGGAAAGGACAGTCTTATCGTGGGGGATTTTAATGCCCCTAATATCGACTGGGACCTACTTCTCTGTGGTCGTCCACCTGGTTCTTTTGATGCTACTTTACTTGAGACTGTTATCGATTGTAATTTGTTTCAACACGTCACCATGCCAACCCGCATTGTTGCCGACCAAACGCCAAACATTCTGGACCTTGTGCTCACCCCAGCTCAGTCAGATGTCACGAACCTAACAGTTCTTCAACCCATCGGCAAAAGTGATCATTGTGTCGTTTCATTCCAATGGACACGTCGCCTCACGATCCATAGCCAGGGTGGTTGTCGTCGGAACTTTTGGCAAGCGGATCCTCTCCGTCTGAGAACAGCCGCAAGCGCTATGGACTGGAGTATTCCTGATCCCATTCCCCTTGATGATGCGTGGAACCTTGTGCTCTCCAAAATGACTTCTCTAATTGAGCAGGTCGTTCCTTTCTCCCGTAGAAAGTGCTTCAAGAGGGGTCCACCTTGGATTGACAGTGAATTGAGATCTCTGATAAACAGAAGACGCAAATTGTGGGATCGTTTTAGGCAATCTCAAACAGAGTTCGATTACTCTTCCTACAAGACCACCAGAAATGCTTGTGTCGCGTTGAAGCGACAGAAACGTCAGCAATATGAACTATCATTAGCAGCACATTCCAGAACGACACCTAAAATGCTTTTTTCTTATCTAAAAAGAAGTACCAGGGCTGGCAGTGGCATCCCCACCTTGTGTTCCTTTGAACATCGAAATTTACTTTACGAAGACGCTGATAAAGCCAGTCTTTTGGCCCAGCAGTACGCCTCTGTCTTCACGAAAGAAACTCCCGCCTGCGACAACACTGTGTCCAGTTTTCCTTATGAGTTGGATCAAGTAGACATTAACATCAATTCTGTGGTTAAACTTCTCCTTGATTTAGATCCGCATTCTTCACCCGGCCCAGATGGCTTGCACCCCCTGTTCCTTAGGATTGTGGCGCAGTACATCGCCCCTCCTATCTGTCAGGTTTTCCGTCTTTCTTTTGAAGCTGGGCGTCTCCCGTCGGCTTGGAAAGTGGGCATTGTAAAACCCATTTACAAAGGAGGGAACAGGCAAGATCCAGCCAACTATCGTCCTATCTGCTTAACGTCGATATTATGTAAAGTTATGGAGCGGATCTTGAAGCAGACTCTTCATCTCTACCTCGAGGAACTGAATCTCTTCTCTTGTGCACAGCATGGTTTTCGAAGGGCACGCTCATGTACCTCGAACTTACTAGTTGCTAAGGAGAAATGGGCGAAATCGCTAGATTCCGGCAAACGCTTGGATGTTGTGTTTGTGGATTTCAGCAAAGCTTTCGACAGGGTCCCGCACGAACGACTTTTGCTTAAACTCCGAGGAATCGGTATTGCCGGGAATCTTCTCTCTTGGATCTCTGATTTCCTTCGCGACCGCACGATGCAGGTGCAAGTAAACGATACATTTTCCGCCCCTGTTCTCATGACTAGTGGAGTCCCACAAGGTTCGGTCCTCGGCCCTGTGCTTTTCAACATCTTCATCAATGACTTACCGTCAACACTCCAGGCGGATTGCCTAATCTACGCTGACGACTTGAAGCTGTGGATGGAGGTATCCAGTATGGAAGATGCTGACAGGTTGCAATCGACACTCGACCTGCTACATGATTGGTCAATTAAGTGGCAGTTGCCAATGAATCATGAGAAGTGTTCAGTTCTCCCAGTTGGTGCGTCTGTCCCATTTGGAATCTATCATATTGGTGGTTCCTTGCTCAGAAACGCCACTCAGGAGAGGGATTTGGGAGTGGTACTTTCGTCTGACCTCAAATCTAATGAAGATACCAAGAAAAAGGTCGCTGCGGCCTACAGGATGTTTCACTCTATACGCAGAGCTTTCTCTCGCCTGACCCCGGGAATCTTCCGACTCCTGTTTACTTCACATGTACGCCCGCTTCTGGAATACGGGCTACCTGCCGCCTACCCTCTTACGAAATTTGAATGTGATATGATTGAAAAGGTTCAACGGCGTGGATCCAAATCTGTTGCTGAGCTGCGGGACCTGTCCTATTCTCTCCGACTCAAACAACTGAACCTCTTTTCCCTGGATTACCGTCGTCATCGCGGAGATTTGATCTTCACCCGACGTATTCTTAGAGGAGAGTTGGGGAGGGAATTACAGGAATTCTTTCATCTCAACACAGAGAGTTCAACAAGAGGCCACAGTTTGAAACTGTTCAAACCGAGGAGTGATCGAGTGCGATCCAGCCTGGCTTTATCCACTCGCGTTGTGAATGACTGGAACCGCCTTCCGGAGTCCATCGTCGTTGCCGAGACCGAGGAACGTTTCAAGCATTTATTGGACTCTCACTTTAGTTTACGGGGATCCAGCTGTTTCCAATGCAGCTTCAGTGCTTCTCTGTGGGACCTTGTTCCGCAATGACGCAGGCTATCTCCGAAAGGATTGGGAAGTGACGGAGCTGACAAAGGAACTTCCTTCTGCTCTCTATCATTCAATGATTCAATGAATGTATAAAATGACCTTACTCGGCGAAGGTCATAGGATGGCCTTCAACCTTGTTATGGAAATAGTCCCTTGCGTTGTTCATTGTTGTCTGGCCGTTATCTGCCGGTTTTAGACCGGTTCGTTTTGGCATGTCTTTACCGTCGCACCCTACGTTGACGCTATGGCCCCGAGCTGAACCTTTTACTTACGGTATTTTTCAAGTCCATCCTCATCCAAGACTAGCTGTCCACGTATGGTCATTTTATTGTTATTCTTTCCATTTAGAACATAAAGAAGTTAGTGTCATATGCAAAATCAAAGGGAAAATCAGGATTTCCCAAATTGAGGTTTGGCTTTCTAATCGGTTTGCAACACCCTTGTAGTTATCCCACATGGAAGCACGTAGCTTGCAACAAGCTTCAGCTGAGTGAAGACCTAGCTTGGATGTAATTATTACGATTTGGTTTACTGCCCAGTTTATTTTATACTTGTCTCACGATGGCTGTCACTCACAGCGATAGACTTAATGACTTAGAAGAGCGCATGTTTTTCTCCAACGGCTCCGTGGATGATAGCGGTAATGTTTGTCCCGCGAGCGGCATGAACTTTCTTTTCTAGACCGTGTTCGCGCCTCACAGTCGATTGACTTGTTTGTGTTTGCTATATTCCTGTACATACAGCAAATTAACAAAATTTCTTTACGAGCATCAGCCGTTTCTGCGAACGCAGAGTAAGTGAGCTGTTTTTGCAGCTTGGATTTTGCTAGATGGCCAGGTAGTCACAACCGCTCCTCCGAACTGGATTCAGGTCGTTCAACTCCTATTCGACCTTGTCGAGTAACACATTTAGATTACCTTGTCACCATTAGAACCTTGACGAGCAATACCATCTGCAATTTGTCACTGAAAATCTCGCAGAACTACTTGACTTGCTAGTCGAACCCGGTGAGCTCGCCGTCGGTTTCATTTACCCCGACTCATGTTTTATAACCTAGTCTGTTATTTTTGAACCCCTCATCAATTGCTATGATGTTTGCGATACCGCACGTTTAATTTTTATGTTTTCAACAACTCATCGCATATTCACAATTTGTTTAGGAGTCTCGCTCACTGAAACTGCATAACAAGGCAAGTAAAAGGTTGCGTCCTTGTTTTTAGAGACTGACAGTTCACTGCATGTGTTTGACTTGATTTTTCGTATCGTGTCTCCTGCCATCAGCTCCAGACTGCCCCAAATATTCGGCTGCGGCCTTTTAACGATGGCGTTGTAGCAGTATGTGCATGTTGATCATCAACATCTAGTAGTCTTAGTACTTCGGTTGTTCCTGTTTCATCCCTTCCCCTTCCCATAATTACATTGATTATTAAACCGTCAAGTCGTTCCCCGATCTACTCCTGATTCCTTGTCTTGCCTTTCAATCAATCTATGCTAGCTGAGTGTTAGAAACATACCACAGTTAATGTGCAGCATTGCAAAAAAGTAAGATATTACACATTGCAGACGACAAAAATAAAAAAACAAGTGATATGGTGCTAAATGTAATATTACGCATTGAGCAGATCTTTGTTGGGCGGGGGAGGCTACACGAAAGAGTAGGGAAGAAGTAACAACACAAACACCACTGAGGCCGGCTTGTCGGCATGCGAACAAGTGTATTCAACCAGACGTGTTCATCCTCCTTGGGACTCCAGCCTGGCAGTTGGGAGACTAACCGATAATAATAGAAATAATGATAACAATAACAATACTAGTAATGTGTCAGCTGTACGCCGTAATGGCGCTCCGCTGCTGTGCTGGGTATACTGCAAGGACGCCCACCCCTACCTCGATTCGAACCCGCGCCGCAAGGTTACGAGACAAGCTTGTTACCTGTAAGCCATGGGCTGACGACCTAACCCATGCCGATTTCGAAGTTAAGGTATACCACCTGAGCAAGTTGTCGCTTAGCCTCCCCTACTGTTCATCAATCCACACATCATCATCATCATACACGTTAGCTAGAGGTGGGAAACACCTCAGCTACTGTGCCGCAATACAAAGAAAAAAGGAGAGAGAAAATAAAACAACTGGTGAAAGCTGGCTGTGCTACCGGTAACGGATGGGCATCGTTCCGGTAAGCTACCAGCCGGCTGCTGTGCACCCAAAAAAAATTATTATGCAAAATTATATAAGGCTAAGTAATGAGATCGTGGTTGGAGGGGGAGGCTAAGAGGGATGGGGTGGGACAAAGAAACTCACAGCACGAACGCCACTGAGGTCGGCTCCTAGCCATATCAACAAGTGTGTTCAACCAAACGTGTTCATCGTCTTTCGGATCCCAACCAGGGAGCCGAGACGCTCCAACCGAGGCCAGCTTCGAAGTGAGGGTCTTCATTCCTCTGGACCAAGTCATCGCTTGGCCACCCCTCCTCTTCTTCCATCCACACCCCCGGCGCGCAAACAACACACGTCGCGGAAGTCGGTGGGCTGGCATGCGTAACATGTGGCCGAGCCATCGGAGCCTGATGCGTGAAATAACGGTGCTGAGCGGTTCAGTTCCTTTTCCTGTGCCATAAACAAGGCGTCGAACACGCTCGTTACTCACGCGGTGTTCCCACCAAACGTGAGCTAAATTACGAAGGCACCGGTGGTCGAACGTAACTAGCCTCTTCAGATCCGCTGCTTTAAGCGGCCAGGTTTCACAACCGTACAATAGGGTCGAACGTACTGCTGCATTGTACACTCTACCCTTCAGGGCAAGAGTGATGTCGCGCCGGCGCCATAAGTGGCGAAGGTTAGCAAAAGCGCCCCGAGCTTTTGCTATACGATTCGTGATTTCATCTTCAATCACACGGGCGCTGATACAACTTCCCAGGTAGTTGAATTTTTGAACGACTTCTAGCTGATCCCCACCAAGGGTCAGCGTAGGCGGTCCAGACCAATCTTGGAGAAACGCTTTGCACTTCGAGGGTGCGAAGCAAAGCCCGAAGTGACGGACAGCTAGTGCTAATCTGTCCAGTGCCGTTTGGCACGTTTGTGAGCTGTCACAGATGAGGTCAATATCATCAGCATACTCTAAATCAAGAAGTCGTTCTCCTGGGAGTAGCTCCACACCTTCCAAGTCGTGTCCTGTGAACGCGATTTTCATGACTTCGTCAACAGCGAAGTTGAAGAGGAAAGGTGACAGCGGGCATCCTTGTCTCACGCCGCTGGAGATATTAAAGGGCGACGACAACTTGCCGTAAGCCCTCACTCTGCCCGAGCTACGAGCGTATAATGCTCGGATAATATTCACATATTTCTCAGGTACACCTTTCCTGAGTAGACAGTCCCAAAGTGCATGTCTATCCACCGAATCGAATGTACCTTTGATATCAAGGAACACGACAACGGTGGGCCGCCAATATATGTGACGGTGCTCCAACAACTGACGCAAAGTGAAGATGTGGTCAATGCAGCTACGACCTCGACGAAATCCAGCTTGCTCTTCACGAATCTGGCTTTCACGAGTGCCAGTCAGTCTGTGAAGGATGACAGGCAAGCAATTTGGAGGCGATGGAGATCAGACTGATTCCTCTATGGCTGCCGCATTCCGATTGTGAGCCTCCTTTGAAAATTGGGACTATGACGGAGCGGCTCCAATCGGTTGGGACAGTTTCCTGCTCCCACAGTCTCACTAGTAACTCGTGTAAATCATCCACAAGAGCAGGTCCCCCGAATTTGGAAAGGGCTGGAGGAAGGTCATCAGGTCCCGCGGCTTTATTTAACTTCAACAGTTTGATCTCATGTTCGACTTCTGAGCGAGAGGGTGGATCCAAAGGAACAGCCCACGGAGCAGGGCGATCACTGGTCGGCGAGAAATCTAACAATTCCGACCGATTAAATTGCCTTTCAAAGTGCTCAGCCCAACGTTCCAGGCGTTTTGATAAATTGTGGATGGGCTGTCCACTCTCGTCACGTATAGTTTCACTAACACCAGGTCTCCTGCTGCCCGTTTCCCGTATAAGACGGAATAACTCACGATGGTTACCAAGGGCAGCGGCCATTTCCATCTCTGTTGCACGACGAGACCACCAGGATTCGCGGTCTCTTCAGACTAGCACGGAGTTTTGCCCGGAGCTCTTTGCGAGTTTCATTGTGTTCGCTTCCAGCCGGAATATGCCGGCGAGCATCTATAAGTTCCAAAGACTGTGAAGAGACCCAATGTTCATGTTGGCGATTAGACATACCACATGAGGATTTGCCTGCTGCTAGTAAGGCCTGTTGCATATGAGACCAGTGAGCTTCAATTGCATCCTGTGAGCGTTTATCCAACTCGGATGACAGCGTAATTTGATAGGCGTTCAGAACAGCTGGATTCACCAGTCTTCCGGTGTCATTGCGCTCACAACATCGTCGCGGGCGTCCGCCAAAGCGCATCCGCAGGTCAGCACATACAAGTGCATGATCGGTGTCAACACCTGTGCTCCAAATCGAGCGACAGTTCTGGACGCAGCCTCTCCAGCGGTAACTGATAGCAATGTGATCGATTTGCGTCCATAACTGGTTCGAGGCTGGTGGGCGCCAAGTCACCCTCTGGCGGGTGCTGTGTCGGAAATTAGTGCTCGCAAGAAATAAGCGAGCATCCTCACACAAATGAAGTAACCGCTCACCGTTATCATTACGGGAGCCTATACCATGTTGGCCGCCTAGATGCAGCTCATCTGCGGATAATTTTCCAACTTGAGCGTTCAGATCCCCAGCCAGCACTACAGTGTCCGAGCTTCTTCTGTGGCGAAGGAGTTCGTTCAGTTGGCGATAGAAGTCGTCTTTTACCGAGTCATCGCTACATTTTGTCGGTGCATAGGCAGCGATAACGAATAGACACCTGTTAGTCCCGCGCGACTTCGAAGTTTTGAACGAGCCAGCCAATCGGACCGCACACATCCGGCTACTGATTGGAATCCAATCAACCAGAGCAGCCTCAGCCCGGTGACTCAGGGCAATACCAACACCGGCTTGGTCGGTGCTCGAAGCCGCATCGTCACCGGATAGGCGCAATGAGAAAGTGCTGCTAGTGTCACCTGAAGGGGATCGCAGAGTGAGTACAGACCTCGAGTCTTGCAGGCGGGTCTCCGATAAGCAGCAGATATCGATCGAGAGGGTCTCTAATGTTCGGGCAAGTGCTGCCTGTTGACCAATCTGAAGCAGTGTGCGAACATTGAGGCATGCCAGTCTGAAGGAGGATCGAGGGCTCCAAATGGAAGCCGATGAACTGGAATGGGCCGCTTGCTTGGACATGGGCCTGTTGACAGTGCAGAAATGACGCTCTGCGTTCACCTGTGAGTTGAAACTAAAAGACAAGCGACTAATGAAGCAAGGTGGGGGAGGGCCGAGAATTGGGGGTTGAAAACAGGGGGGATAAAAGTAAAGCTGGAACGGGACGATAAGGGTGAAAAAGCGCAAGAAGGGGAATAAGAAGATGGGAAGGCCTGAGCGGTAGCATCCAAACCCCTATCCACCCTGCTCGATGCAGCAGATAGGGCACCGTTGATTATCCTCTGCGGTGGCCAGAGCATCAGAAATTTGTTTGGGGAAGGATTCATTGTATTGCGTGGGCAGGATACTGTCAGGTTGCCCAGGCCTAGACAGGAGAACGATTAGGGTTCTCAACCAAAGCCTTTGGTTCAAAAACCTGGCCGAAAGGCAGCGGGTTTGGCACTGGGCTACAAGGAGTCCGTTTTAAGGAATAAGGAGCCACCCTCATTCCAACCCCTAACCTGGAGGACCAGGAGGCTGAGTTTGTCTGGCCTCTAACCATTGGCCAATCTGGTATGAGTGGCTCTGAAGGCGCAAAAGCACCACCCAGTATAGCTCAATGGATCACTGAGGCACACAAACCATCGCACCACGGTAAGGTCCAGCCTCATTGCGATGGCATCAATCCACACGCTGCTCGCGCAAATAACGTACCACGCTGGAGTCG